CTTTAAATGAAAACTGTACTTCCAGTCTGTGAGTCAGAAATGCCGGCATTGTAGTCTACTCTCCCAGGATCAGGAAACAGTCCTCCATAAAATGCGCTGCACACATCTGGATATTTGGGTCGAACTGTTCTGGAACAGTGTTGTAAATACAACTTAACCACTGATTTCTAGTTGTGTCCTCTTTTGGAAGACCAAACAAAGTAGTTTCGCTTTCACAACAAAACACAGTGTTACACATGGCGGGCTAGAGTGAGCGGCGGCAGGCGTGCTTGAGAGAATGGCATGGCCGGCGGGCTTGCAGCACCCACATGTGACGACCCTGGGCTGGACTCCGCTTCCACGGTGAAAGCCGATCCGGCGATCCAAAGCACAAAGTTGATGTATTTCCTCAGCGACCAGCACGGATCAGCTCTAGTAATGACGAAGCGGATATCATCCTCTCTTGGAAGGCCAAACAAATTAGTTTCGCTTTCACAACGAAACACACAGCGCCTTCACGACATGGCGGCGGCGGCAACAACAATACTACAGTGAGAATAAAAATTATGCCTTCTTTCTTTGCGTGAACATTTGGGCGGCATTATGCAAATCTTCCCACATTGTGACGTAGACGTGGGGGCGTGTTAGAATGAGCCGTTTTAGGTAGGCGTGGTTGACTCTTAACTTTTATAAAGAATATCTCTTTGGATTTGAGACTTTAGTCTTTGCAACTAAACAGGTCTTCTTTATGCACCAAGAGCTTGTAACACTTCAAAGAGAAAGGAAAATTGAAATCGCATCATATGACCCCTTTAAGTAATGGGTCAAGACATTGTGGAGGATTTAAAAGCAGAAATATGCTGCCTTTAAAAAAAAAAAAAATTGTTAAAGGGCCTATATTCTTCTGTAAATGTGCTACTTGAGCTATAAAGTTGTCTACACAGTCTTTTCAGCGCTAGGCAGATGATTTTACACTACCATTATATTTCCTGTGGGTGAAAGTTACAGAGGTTTGCAAGTGCAAGGTTAGTGATTTTTATCACACTAGTCTTGCGTTAATATGTATAATTACCCACATGAGCATCAGTATGCTGTATTCCGGCTCCAACATACCCATATTTTCAAAATAGCACTGCTGTATTCTTTTGCAGTTTGTCACTTAGAGCACAGCCATCTGTGCAGAGTTGATATTCACTCCTCACACTTCAGCAGCAGTTTGACAGACTCTATAATTGTGGAGAGTGTGAGCAAACTGTAGACTTGGGAGCTCTGCCACCCAAATGGAAGTTGCCGTTCTTCATTAGTTGTCAAGCAGATGTGTTTGTATTTAAATAAACTTTAGTGCAAATATTACAAGAACAGTCTTTCTGAAGCTACCGAATCTCTTGGCGATTGGCAATCCCACAATTTCTGTTTCTGGAATTGGCCCTATCAAGGTTGGAACCAGGCTTTGGGTTTCATGGCCAGATCTCATTAAGCTGCCACTACACTAACTAGGGTTGGATTGATGTTTTAGCATCGACCCTTGGTATCGATACTGAATTGGTACCTCGACATAACCAGATGGGTGACCATTTCATTTTATATTTTTAATGCTATAATGCACAGACCTAACCTGTTAGCAGTTTAGATTTGAAGGGTATTTGTAAGATATACATGACTAGCTTCTGGCCGTCTGTCATTATGTGGTGTTAATGGTGCTTTTATTAAAACAAACCTTTCACCTGCCTCCAACCACTTATTTTGTGCGTCACGCAGCCGTTTGGCCATTGTTGTCATTTATGAAAGGGTCGTGCGCAAACAAGTTCCTATTCTTTATGGGCTAGAATTTCCACTGGCTCGGAAAAACAAATAACTAACCTCCCTGAGACAGTTCTGTCTGCTCGCTCTTGCACGCGTTGCTTGTGTTTGTCACCAATTCCATGCATTACCAATCTGACCACACTCTGTGATAAAATGAGTCTGATTGTATTGCTTCTGAAAGCAGAGACTCCCTGAGACTTCAGCTGACAAAAGTTGACAGACAATCACCTCTGATTTAATTTGCTCTTGAATGTGTTTGCAGCTTTTTCATATTGGTAATTTTAAGCGGTTTATAGTTGTGTTTGTTGATTCACATGCTGTAATAGCATGCTTGTGAATTGAAGATCTCTTTGACATCTCTTGGTAAAGAGATGCACTTCACCATTGCATAGAAATGATTTAATACACTTTTGAAGGTTATGTGCATTGTCATCTTCCAGAGTCCTTGACCAAAGGCAGAGCTCTGTGGATAAGGATGTAGAGTTAAGTGTTAGTCAGAGTTTCAATTATAGCAAGAACAGCACTTCAAGTTGGAAAAAAAAAGAGGAGGAGGAAGAAAAAGCTTGCTTCCGGACCGTGTTAAGCGGCCAACTGCAGCTCAACAGGTTTGTAGTGTGGGGTGCTGTTTTATTTCACTGAATTTCTTGGAACGGTTTTATGTCAAAACCTGGTTTCATTTAAATTTAGTATAGTGTGTAACTGTATATGGATTTCGTTTTCCTTCACGTTTGGTAATGATGCAAATCCTTGGAAATTTGATAGCAGAACAGGACACAGGGTATTGACACAGTGATGTTTGACAATGTCATGCAAAATGTAAGCAGAGAATGTTTAGTACAAGTAAAATAGGGTTTGAAGTGCAACTACACGGTTTCTGCAAAATAGCCATGAGCTGGCTGTGCATGTTTCTCTGTCAAAATGAGGTTAAGTAAATATTAAAATAAAAAAAGTGGAGTAAACGTGCAGTTTTCCCTATAAAGTTTCTCCATAATGGCTTTTTTTTTTGGTCTGTGTCGGTGGGAGTTATTGGGATTTTTTGGTGGTCATCTATTATTTATAAAGTTCTACAACAGAATGTAGGGGCAACCACTTTCTGCGCAGTGAAGCTTTTTTCCAGGAACAAATCCTCACTCTCACACAGGACGTGGCCTTCCACAGACATTTGACACTTTCAGAGAATGAAACTTTAAAAAAAAAAAAATCTAGAGGCACAATGTTCCCTTCTGTAATTGACTCATTTGTCACAGACCGAGCGGTTACTCTGTAAGTGCCTAATAATTTAATTCAATATTCAGTCTAATTCCTAAAACCAAAATGTAGTTTTAGTAAAGCTAAATAATTATCAAGGTAACCATTACAGTTTTGCTGGTTACAGTATTCCATTTAGATATATCCCTGTTGCGTTTTTTTTTTTTTCTTTTCTCTTTTGTTTGTTCTGACACACAATGTGTAGAAGAGTGCTGAAGATACATTGCCAGACAGCCAGAAAGTAATGTATTTATTTATATTATAATTTACAAAAATAATTATTGGTAATTTCCAACTATTTTGCATTCTCTAAATGTCGCGTCACTCAGATGCAGTGTGAATGTTTTATACCCAACATACACTATAAGCATGAAACGTGAAAAAAAAACTAGAATTCCCCTTTTCAAATCAACAAAGCATATAAAACCGATTTATTCTGCAGTGTGGACAGCTTTGTTTATAATAATAGGATCATTTGTTAGAATCCAGAGCTCACACTCAACTGTAGAGCTCAAAAAGTTGGTGATTTATAATTAGGGTTGGACGATGTGTAAAGTGAAACATCGTGATGG